TAATGTTTTATCTTAATTATTGATAGACTATGGAAAAGCTTTATCATTTTTAAACATCAGCTTTAGAATATATGATCATTTTTAGGAGACTCATTTGAGTTTTCAGAACAAATGCTTGTACATTTCTACATAATGCTTTGGCAATTTCCTGTAATGAAATATTTTATAATGTTGAAGTGGTTTTCTGTCCTGAAGTAAATTGTATTGCTAGTAGTGTGGCATATACTATTACAGGGTATCTTAATGGATTTAATCCACATAGCTGTTTTGAGGGAATTTTCACATGTATAGATTTATTGGTAAATTGAAAATGCAATAATTCTCTTTATTTGTCTCCATTCAGGATTTAGTATCAAATCAGTAGCGACTTTACAAAAAAAGATTCGGAAACACAATCTTTTATTATTCCCTAAAAAAATACTTTCCAAAATCAAAGCAAAGTGAACCAAGTGTGGTAGGCCCATTCACTGACCTGGGCATTCAGGAGTCCATTTCAAACAACGTCTGAGGAACATTAGTAAGTCAGGAGCATTAATTAGCCTACCCTTGCGAAACTGCTGGGAGAGCCCGTTCTCATCTCCCTTTCTCCGAGACTAACATCAGCTGTCTAAAATCAGAAGTAAATTAACAAGTTTCCTACTGAGACAACACAAAACGCCGACCCTACCTTTCGGTGAAATCTATTTATCTCAGAGATACTAAAGTACATATTTTTGAATATCCTACCTACCCATCTACTTAAGTGTAGCAAATACATCAGCCCCAAGTATTAAAATAATGTTTAAATCACTCTAGCCTTGTGTGTTATGATAGACTTGCTCTCATTTTACATGTAATTAGCATATAGACCACCATGGTAATTGCAGAAACCAAACAAGATAAAATCATATCTAAAAATTGCCTTCATTTTGGCTGCAGAACATTGGAATGATATTATTTCAAGATTGCATGCCATATTTATGCTTTAATGTTTCCTTATATAAACTTTTAGAATGTTGTTCACAAATGTTATGTGAGAACCCTCCCCTTCAAACTACAGAGAATCTTCAGGAAAGCACTGGTCTCTACACAGGCCTATCATTCGTGAGTGCTGATGTAATCTCCTGGGAGTAGAAGGACCTAGAAGAAGCATCTCCCTGGAGATCTGGAAAGTCAGCCCAAGCTTAATGGCAAGCTGAGCCTGAATCACAACCCACAGAGTTTCTTTGTCACAACTGAATGTTTTCACTGCCCTTCCTAAGAGTCACCTGATCCTAGAGCCTGAGAGAGGAAAAGTCAACCATTCTCACAGAAAGAGATTCACACCCCGGATTTAGCTAGGGCTACTGGTTTTGAAATACACTACTGGCAACTTTTTCCTCAACTCTAACATCTTTCTTCTTTGTCCGTTTCCTTAAAATCATGCACATTGATTATGTTCTTTTTTTTTTTAAAGTCAAGATGAAAAGTTAATAGGATCTTGGGGTAACCCTGACCAAGGAAGTGAAAGATCTATTTGACAAGAACTTCAAGTCTTTGAAGAAAGAAATAGAAGAGGACACCAGAAAATGGAAGGATCTCCCTTGCTCTTGGATTGGGAGGATCAACATAGTAAAAATGGCAATTCTACCAAAAGCAATCTATAGATTCAATGCAATCCCCATCAAAATCCCATCAAAATTCTTCACAGATCTGGAGAAGACAATAATCAACTTTATATGGAAAAACAAAAAACCCAGGATAGCCAAAACAATCTTATACAATAAAGGAACGTCTGGAGGCATTACCATCCCTGACTTCAAACTCTATTACAGAGCTACAGTATTGAAAACAGCTTGGTATTGGCATAAAAACAGAGAAGTCGACCAATGGAATCGAATAGAAGACCCTGACTTTAACCCACAAACATATGAACACCTGATTTTCGATAAAGGAGCTAAAAGTATACAATGGAAAAAAGAGAGCATCTTCAACAAATTGTGCTGGCAAAACTGGATGTCAATCTGTAGAAGAATGAAAATAGACCCATATCTATCACCATGCACAAAACTCAAGTCCAAGTGGGTGAAAGACCTCAATATCAGTCCAAACACACTGAACCTGATTGAAGAGAAAGTGGGAAGTACTCTACAACACGTGGGCACAGGAGACCACTTCCTACGTATAACCCCAGCAGCACAGACAGTAAGGGCCTCATTGAATAAATGGGACCTCCTGAGACTGAGAAGCTTCTGTAAAGCAAAGGACACTGTCGCTAAGACAGAAAGGCAACCCACTGACTGGGAGAAGATCTTCACCAACCCCACAACTGACAAAGGTCTGATCTCCAAAATATATAAAGAACTCAAGAAACTAGACCGTAAAAGGCTAATCAACCCAATTATAAAATGGGGCACTGAGTTGAACAGAGATCTCTCAACAGAAGAAGTTCAAATGGCCAAAAGACACCTAAGGTCATGCTCAACTTCCTTAGCGATCAGGGAAATGCAAATCAAGACAACTTTAAGATACCATCTTACACCTGTCAGAATGGCGAAAATCAAAAACACCAATGATAGCCTTTGCTGGAGAGGTTGTGGAGAAAGGGGTACACTCATCCATTGCTGGTGGGAATGCAAACTTGTGCAACCACTCTGGAAAGCAGTGTGGAGGTTTCTCAGGAAATTTGGGATCAACCTACCCATGGACCCAGCAATACCACTCTTGGGAATATACCCAAGAGAGGCCTTATCACACAACAAAAGTATATGCTCTACTATGTTTATAGCAGCATTGTTTGTAATAGCCAGAACCTGGAAACAACCTAGATGCCCTTCAATTGAAGAATGGATGAAGAAAGTATGGAATATATACATATTAGAGTACTACTCAGCAGTAAAAAACAAGGACTTCTTGAAGTTTGCAGGCAAATGGATGGAAATAGAAAACACCATCCTGAGTGAGGTAAGCCAGACCCAAAAAGAGGAACATGGAATGTTCTCACTCATATTTGGTTTCTAGCCATAAATAAAGGACATTGAACCTATAAGTTGGGTTCTTAGAGAAGCTAAATAAGAAGGAGAACCCAAAGAAAATCCTGAATATTTCTCCTGAATATTAAACTTCATCAGGCGATGAAAGGAGACAGAGACAGAGAACCACATTGGAGCACCGGACTGAAATCTCAAGGTCCAAATCAGGAGCAGAAGGAGAGAGAGCACAAGCAAGGAACTTAGGACTGGGAGGGGTGCACCCATACACTGAGACAATGGGGATCGGGAACTCACCAAGGCCAGCTGGCCTGGGTCTGAAAAAGCCTGGGTCAAAACTGGTCTCGCTGAACATAGCGGACAAGGAGGACTACTGAGACCTCAAGAACAATGGCAACGGGTTTTTGATTCTACTGGACCTATTGGTTTTGTGGGAGCCTAGGCAGTTTCGTGGATGCTCACCTTACTAGACCTGGATGGAGGTGGGTGGTCCTTGGACTTCCCACAGGGCAGAGAACCCTGATTGCTTTTTGGGGAGGGGGACTTGATTGGGGGAGGGGGAGGGAAAGGGGAGGCAGCGGTGGGGAAGAGACAGAAATGTTTAATAAATAAATAAATTAATTAAAAAAAAAAAAAAAGAAAAGTTAATAGGACATATTAAACCCACATGGAATCCTTACATTGAAAAGTAACTCTGTTAACATTTTGGTATAGATCTTTACAAAGTTTCTGTTTCAATGATTTTCTAATGTAGTTTTGTGTACTTAAAGTATGTAGCTATAATATTTATTTCCCAAATACATGGGGTTTCCCCCACCCCATATACAGTTTTGCTTTCAGGAACTGTTTTCATTGTATTCATTCTCTCATATGGGATCAAATGAGATGTGCCTTAATTATTGCATTACTCCTGAAAGAATAGAAAAATCTATGTGACATGGTATACTTCCAGTTGTTATCCAGGAATACTTTCCCGTGTCCCAGGAACTGACATACTATCGATGGACTAGACCTGCATGGCGAACATGATGAAGTTCTCACTTTGCTGTTTGACGTTCAGAGCATCCTCACTAGTGTTGTCCTCCTTTCTATTGTCTGACTTCCCAGGGACCTTACGCCTCCCCAGTTTCTTTCTTGTCCCCTACTTGACTTTCCCAATCCTTTAATTCTGACATGCTGAGTTCTGTTTGCTCGGAGGCAGAAAATAATGATTTAGGCTTCCACCAGGACAATATCTTGCAAAATGTAAATATAAACCATAAATATTGCCTTATGTATGAGTGTGGATATTTACAAAGTAGCCATGAATTACACAAAAAGTAGTAAGTGGCCAAGATAGGGAAAGAGATGGGAAGGAAACTTCTGATTGGAAACTCTTTCGAGTCCATGAATTCTTTAGAATACCATCTACTCAAAATAATGCTTGAACTAAAGGCATATGTGCATACAAACATACATTAAACTTAAAGCATAGGCTAGTTTTCGTAAGTTCCATGATTTACTAACTGTCCAAAGGAATCCAGCTTCTAACCATAACACTGTCATCTTTGGGGTAAGGAATGGAAAAGTACTTTTGTTTTCTCTGAAAATAATGCAACTTGCCATTTTGTTCCATGACAGACTTAAAGTACCAAGTTTGAAACAATGACATAGAAACTCGCAACAGTGTCTGCTCTACTGTAGAGTAATAATGTCAAACCATCAGATACTGCATCTGATCCAATACACACACGCTTACACACACACACACACACACACACACACACACACACACACACGGTGTGAAAGAGGCATTGTGTGGAACATTTCCACAGTCTCACTGGTAACAGAAGGCTCAAAGTGTAAAAAGTGACAGGACTTCTATCCTCAGCTCTGGTCTGCTGTAAAACACAGGTAGCGGCGGTTCCTGTCTGTGCAAATCATCTCTGTGCCATTCAGGCAGCGTCTGTGACGCAGCAGTGCAGTGCATGCATGAACATCAGTCATATTGGTCTATGTGGAGCTCAAATATCTGGAGTTTTGCACCTCTCATTTCTTGTTCTTTGTTTGCAGGTGGTTAAATCGAAGTTATCCAGAGAGCACCACGTTCTCAAGATGAAAAGATCCAAGAACCATACTGTGGAAAAATACTTCAGCAGTCAAAACAAACGGCACCAACAAAATTCTGTCCCAAATGTTCACTCACCATATCATGTCAGAGGGCCAATAAATCAGGTTTGTTCTGAGATCCTGTTCAGCAGGATGTGTGCGAGTCGGCGGTCTGCGCAGGCTCCCTGAAGAAGAGGTGAATTCAGAATTAGAGATAAGCCATTCACCAGGACAATGGTCTGAGAACCGAATGTGCCTCACTCATGCTTTGCAATGACTGCACACTCACCAGTGCAAGCATGCACACCAAAGTACACGGCTTACAAAAAAGTAATGACACCTTTTTCTTAGAACAGAACACACTCAAAAGTGACCTTGAGCATCCAACGTTGGTTTCAGACCCAAGGACAGAACTATAAGGAGATCACTTGAAAGGTGATCACAAACTAGGACCACATGGACCAGATATTGTAGTGCAATGATAATCAGGACAATGGAAATGCAACGATATGGGCAGAGGGGTAATGCCATTCCTGCGCTATCTGCTCCATAGGTACACTAACGTGGGAAGAAGCAATACATTCCACATGGAGGGATATAATGTTTCAGCTCTTTACCAGGAGAGAGCGGGCTATTTGTGGTGGTTTGGGCTTTGAGGATCTAACCCTTATGAAAAACATTTCTTGTGATACTTTTAAGTTCATAATGGAAGGGCAAGAACAGGAGAGATACTCTGCAGGGGGAGTCAAAGGGATTCTCTGCCTGTGATAAGAAGTGATATTGTATTGAACTCTGTGCTCTTGTGAGTTCCACAAACATCCCTCTACGCCAGACTGTGAGCCTTGATGGGGAGCACAGTCTAAGTTGCTGATAGACATAATTTTGAAGTATGGAACAAAATAAAGTCCCCATTGGTTACTTTGTTACTTTTGTGGATACTCTCTCTGAAGAAGCTTTCCCTTGTCCCTTTAGATGTATCTCATCCAAGACAGCGGTTACATTTTAGATATTTTTGCAAAGGACTGCAGATTCTCAAATGTATAAGAATTTTCTATGTACCCACAAATAGTACTATGTGACTAGTATCTGTATTTTTATTTGAACAAATGTGTTTAATTTAAATTAAAGTAGCCTTACAAGAATTTTTATGAAAATTGTGGCATAAGTAGGGAACACACCTATTTCTAGCCTTGAAAACTTTCACTTCTGTCTTTTTAGGTACAAAAAGGGAAATTGCCTTAATATACAATTGTTTTTACGGGATAACATCTTACTGCTAACTATGGTGGGTTTTAAAGAATGAGTTGAGCCTGAGAAGAAGAAGCTGAGAGGCCTAACTCAGTATGTAGCTAAGATTACTCAATGTACAAATACCTCAAATTCATTGCCATAAGAAATGAAACTATTTTGTTCTCTTGACCCGAGTTATCTCGAATGCATATCCACCTCCTTCAAATACTCTATTTTTATATCTATTTTTATAAGAACATAAACATGGATTTCTATTTAACTGTATTAAATTATATTTAAATATGCATATCACTTTGATAAAAACAACATATGCATTTAGAAATAGTTTTTTTGAACATCGGTACCAAATTAACTTAAAAATTACATATTTTCCATACATACATCTATATACAAACATGGTTTTTAGATTTCCAGTTACTTTTTGATGTTATGAAATGCATCAAATTTTAATGCATTGCATATTCCACGACAGTATTACAGTTAATGCTAGCCTTTTGTAACTCACTAGCCATGTCACTGTAAAAACTCTCTGACTTGAGTTAGCCTGGCATTTTCTTCTTCACCACTGAAATAATACTAGACCTTAGAAACAATTGTAATGTATTTTCAATAAATGTCAAACTGGTAATAATCTGTGTTCAGAGAGTATTTTATACTTTCCCTCTTTTAAAAAGATTTTTAGATGTATGTATTTTACTATGTATATGAAAGTTCTGCCTGCATGTATGTATTGATTGTATAAGTACCACATGAGTCCCTGCTATTCATGGAGGTCAGAATTGAGCATTAGATTCTCTGGAACTGGAGTTACAGAGGTTTCTAAGCCACTGTGCAAATGCTGGGAATCAAATCACAGACCTCTGCAAGAACAAGTGCCCTTAGCCACTGCGCCATCTCTCCAGACCCTTAGCTTCCCATCTGCCAGAGTTATACAGCTACATAAAGAGTTCCTACCGGTTGTGAGCCTAGCCTTTAACAGCTGAACCACTGAGACAGCTGGCCAGAGCTAGCAGGAGCTCATTGACTGTGGATTGATAGATGGGGAACCTGCATAGGACCAAACTAGGAATGTGGGTGACAGTTGTGTGGCTGGGCAGTCTGTGGGGCCACTGGCAGTGGGAGCAGGATTTATCCCTGGTGCATGGACTAACATTTTGGAGCCCATTCCCTATGGAGGGATACCTTGCTCGGCTGCGATACGGGAGGGGCGGGGAGGGCTTGGTCCTGCCTCAAGTGATATGACAGACTTCGTTGACTCTCCATGAAAGACCTCATCCTTTCTGAGGAGTGGATGGTGGGTGAGTGGAGGGGGGAGGGGGAAGAAGGAGAGAAAACTGTTGGTGATATATAAAATGAAAGAAAAATGAAAATGAATAAAATAATAAAATAGAGTGCCTACTGGGAAGGTGTACTGTCAACTGGCTTCTCATGGTGGGCATGACAAGCAGAACTAACCACATAGTCCTTCAGCTGTCACACTCTCTCAACAAGGCATGGGATGAACTCTCTCTGCTGTCACCAGAGTTTCTGAATGTAGTTTAATAATAAGGTGGGTTTTTAAAATTATTTTTGTACTGAAATTCTAGTAACTGTTTCAATCATTTCTTACGTGAAGAAACTGTGTTTTGCACTGGGTAAATAGATGTGAAAATATGCCTTTACAAACGTGTTTCTCTATTTTAGAGCATTTTAATTTGAGCAGGGGAAAAAAGGAGTCGGCCTTTAAAAACATTTTAAGCGTGAAAGTTACAGGAAGTGTATTGTTTTGAGTAAGATTTGATCAGCATCCAATCTAAGCTAAACGTAAAACAAAACATTAGTAATATTAAAAGTCAAGAATAACTGCATAAACATTTCCAAGCTGCTCTATTGACACTGGGCAGAGGGATAGGGTGTGCCTGTGTGTGCAAGGGAGCATGCACATTGTGTGTGTGTGTGTGTGTGTGTGTATTGTGCGTGTGTGAGTATGTGTATGTGTGTGAATGCATTATGTGTATGTGTGTTTTGTGCTTGTGTATGTGGTATTTGTGCGTGCTTGTGTGTGTGTGTGTGTTACAAGTGCTGTGTACTGTTTGCCTATCAGGACCAATCAGGACCTTATAGAGGTGCCAAATTATGCTCATCCATCTTGTTGGGCTGGTTTACATTGGAGCTGTAGATCCTATTTTAGACTAATTTCTTTTATGCCCATAAGTCTTCCCTACAGATGCACTGAGTCGCACTTTAAAGCATTGGGAGAACTTACTGGAAACAATTGTAATGAAAATAAGAAAGAAAACAAAACCCAATAGTATCCTGCATCTTTAATTTGTCCCTTTAGTTTCATTCCACTGAAAAATTCCAAAGAAATTTTTAAAAATGGGTACAAATGTACATTGTCCAATAAGAGTTCTCTTCGTAGATCTAAGACTTTGGCATCAAATGAGAGAAAAGGCATCTAGTGTTGTAAAAGCTCAAGCCAAGATCACACCAAACACTGCCTTTCATTTAAGCAAATGCTGAAACAAAAATAGAAGAAAATCACCAATATCTAAGCTAGGACTATTGAACTTAAAATAAGCAAATGGAACAACAACTTCAAAAGCACACATCCCAGAACAACTCAGTCACACCCCGTCCTACAGTTTTGACTAAATCAAGGAATAACTGCCCTGCGAATGATACTCTGACTTTTGTTGCTGTTTGCTTGCTGCCTTGCTTGTTTCTGAGACAGAGGCTCCCTATGTAGCCAACTCCGGCCTGAAACTCAAGATCCTCCTTGGGTTACAGTCATGAGTCATCATACCTGACTTCATTTTTTATATGCATTTAAATTTCAAATGCTTCTGATGACTCTTGGAAGTGAAGGCATTTTTGGTTGATCATATCAGTTTAAGGAGTTGATTCAGACATTGTCAGAACCCATCCCCCCAAACCTGCTAAAGACAACAGGATCTTGAGCCTGCCTGCCAACTAGACTGTGCTCGGCAACACTTGCATGTCTGAAAACCATTTATCATGTTTTTATTTTTGTAGTAACTACTATTGTCAACTTCCATATTCCTCTGATGATCCACTCATTTGGTAGATGGACAGCCAGGCTCATTTTCCCCTCACCAATATGAACTGTGTTCCTAGCACCACAATCTACTTCTTTTCTTTATGTTCACTAAAATGTAAAGAATTTGCTCTGTGGATAACAGATCACTGAGCCTCGGCACACTCAATAATACACAATCAATTTGTTCACATTTACAATGTATCAAGGGTAATCTATAAGTCTACTTACAACATAAATCAGCGTAATTCCTTAGCTCTAACAGAAAGAACAACATCTATGTTGAAAGTATTATGGCAGATTCATACCTGGTGCCAATATTCACGTAGGTTAGGTTTGGGACTTAATTTGTGCTGACTGGCATCTTAACTAATACTGTAGGCTCCTGCAAAGAACTGTTTTAATTTGGCCGATAAAAAGCCTTTTTTTTTTCTAACACTGTAAGATTCATCTGGGAAAATTGCATTTTAGATTAAGTTATGAAAAGACATTTCATATCTCAAACCAAGATTTCCCCCTCAGGCCATTTATGTATAACATCCATAATGTTCACTTTATTGCAGGTAATAAAAATAGGTACTTTTTGTTGCATAAAAAGTAATTCATACAATCTCCCTAAGAATGCTTAAATACATTTAAAGCAAAGTGGTTATACTTGCTTATGACCACATAAGCAGCCAGAAGCACAAGGGTTTCATAAACTTAAATGTATTCAGTAGATTCTCAACTATGTGGTGGTTTTTCTCATGATAGGTTGGTGGGCACAGTGTGTCAACTTGATGGAGCTTTTAGTGTGAGTAAATGGTAATGGCATGTGATTCATACATAATTCCTTCGGTTGTATTTCCACTTTCTCTTTATAATAAAATCTATGGGTTGAAATCTTTAAAAAATTCATTTTCACTTGAGTATGTCATCAAGGTCAATATTTTAATTTTCCTTAAAGTCTCGCGTTCAAATTTTTTTTTCTGGTTGCTGAATCTGTACAATGAATTCATTTGGGTTTTTTTTTATTGATTTTGATTGAGCTCTACATTTTTCTCTGCTCCCTCCCTGCCTCTCCCCTCCCTTTCAACCCTCCCCCAAGTTCCCCATGCTCCCAATTTACTCAGGAGATCTTGTCTTTTTCTACTTCCCATGTAGATTAGATCTATGTATGTCTCTCTTAGGGTTCTCATTGTTGTCTACATTCTCTAGGATTGGGATTTGTAGGCTTGTTTTCTTCGCTCTCTGTTTAAAAACCACTTATGAGTGAGTACACGTGATAATCGTCTTGGGCTGGAAAGATGGCGCATCCGTTAAAGGCTAGGCTCACAACATATTTGCATGTTTTAAAAATTAAAACATTAATTGGTCTTAAGAAACTAATTTTTGTTTGTTTTGAGACAGGGCCTCCCTCTGCAGCCTAGGCTGGTCGTGAACTCATAATCTTCCAGTGTGCTAAGATTGTAAGACTATGACACTGCTTGGTGTCATAAAAAAATTCAAGAATCTTCCAATGAGCACATGAACCTTTCAGGGTAGGATGTGTGAACAGGTCTCCTTTTAAATATGAAAGGTTATTGGTTTCCAGCCCATGTTTATCTTAATAACTACAGCTCTGGGCACATAATCCATGTGGCTCTTGCTAGTAGATTTGTGAATATGAGAGGGCCACCACAGTCAACATGGGGTTGAAAGAAAAGGAATTAGAAGCATTTGCTCGGGTTCGGAGATCCTGGGAAGAACACGGGTCATAAGCACTTTGCAGCTACCTTGATAAAAGCTAGCTACCTTTCCAAACCTTCTCCTTAGTGTGAAAGTCATTCTACAAGGCCTAATAACTCCTAAAATAAACACATAAGTAATCATTTTATTTGCTTGTTTGAGCCAAACTTGGTAACCTAAATCAACCGAATAGAAGGCAAATGTGCTTTTAATTGTATATTATTTAATAAAAAAAAGTAGAAAATGTGCTATAATTACTCATACGGTGTTTGTCTGGAGAGCCTAAAATGACAGCTCATTTTCCACTACACTGCATCCTCCAAACCGCAGCCAAGAGGTCATTTCTCTCCCAGGGTCATTCCAATCCCTCTTCATCCCTACCTTTATCTTTGAAATGGAAGTCATACAGCATTTCTCTGGGTGCATCTACTATGTAATACAATCATCTTAAAGTTTATATTTTACATTCCTATCCCTTGCCTTCATTACATGTACCATGAAGTTTATGCTTCATGGGCTCTCCAGTTTTATAGTATCATAAAGAGAATTTATGCGCCTTAGTTTTTAAAAAAAAGTCACTGTCCATGTAATTGGCAGAACATAGGATTATCTGCAGCTACTTCTTGAAACGTAAGATTTACTCTGAATTAAGAATAACGTGAGTGGCACTGAAGCAATTTCTACGTAGTCTAGAGTGAGTTTAATCACCAAATCGCCCCGATCTGGAGCCTCTAGCTTCCACCATGTGTGCATGCCCCCGGGGAAAGCCAGTTCACACACGTCTCTCCTGTATATTCATCTCAATGTTCACATTAGCTAAGCAGAAGCAGTGGCGTGTGTTTCAAAGGGTGTGGATCCAGCCAGCAACACAAAGTCACTCATGCCAAGAACTGGATCCTTTCAGCAGGATGGG